AGAGCTCCGTTCGCCTGCTGCTCAGCTCCTGCTGTGCGGCCTGGTCATAAACGGCCATGGACCGGTACCGGCCCTGGTGGGGCTGGGGGACGCCTACTTTGACACGGTCTGTTGGAACTGGATAGCACGTGGTTTTTGAGATTAACCTCCCCTCCATCCTATCTTTTCCCACCAGCCAGCATTGTTCTTGGCAACTTGCAATATGAAGTGTTTTCACCTCCACACCGTCAAGGGGAAGGGAAAGATCGTTCTTTAAATGCTATAACTTCGATATTTCAATAATTTAGCCCATCATTTCCTTTTTGTGTGTAATAATGTCTATGACTCAGAGTCAGATTTTCGGTTATTGGATAACCAGAGGAAATCCAGTGTCTTTTGACCTTTATGATAATTAAGTCTCAATGATAAATGGAATTTATTACTCCACATGATTTCCAATTGTGCCAAGTTCAAAAGATCTAAAAGTTACTCAACTGATAAGGGATCGGGAGCACCATGCGATGCTTTGGACATTAGCCTGTGTTATCATCTTGGAAAGAATGTTTGACTGCTTTTCTGGAAGCTGACCCAACAAAAATTATTGCACAACTTCTCTTTTTCATTTGTTTCATAGTTTGGTTTTGTTTTCTTTTGTTTCTTCCCAGAAGATCTTTAGCTTTATTACTTTGGAACTCAGGAGGGATATTTTATATCTGCTTTACAGATTTTTGTAAACTAATATATGTAAAGAGCTAGCTGTGGCTAACATGTTGGCATTCAATAAATAGTGGTTAGTAGTATGATAAAAGATACTTCCAGAATGAGAGAAATTTCAAAATTGTGTGACTTCATATTTTCAGCAAAACCAATTTACATAGGAAGTAAGCATGTGCAGAAACTTTGCTAAAAGTATTTCAATGCAGCAGCATTTCTAACTGCTAAATTTTTCATCATATGAAACAATGGGATGTTAAACAGTTGCTAGTAATGATAAAGTACTGACATGAAAAGATGTTCACAAAATAGGGAAAAGCAGATTTTAGTCACTATGTATACCATTATTTCATTTTTGAAAAAAAATGATAGAAAAGTAAGCCTAAGTAAAAAGGACATATAGCAAGGCAAAAAATAATTACCATTCAGAGATAAAGTATATTTAGTTTTTCTTTTTTCTATTTGTTGAGCTATAATTTCTATAGTGGTTATCTTGCTTTTTTAAAAAGCAGTAATTTTTTTTTTTTTTTGAGTTAGAGTCTTACTCTGTTGCCCAGGCTGGAGTGCAGTGGCACACTCACAGCCACCCCACCATCCACCTGTTGGACTCAGGCAATCCTTCCGCCTCAGCCTTCCAAGTAGCCAAACTACAGGCAAGTGCTACCACGCCTGGCTAACTTTTAAATTTTTATTGTAGAGATGAGGTCTCACCAAGTTGCCCAGGCTGTTCTTGAACCCATGGGCTCAGGTAATCCCCTCACCTCAGCCTCCCAAGGTACTGGGATTACTGACTAGAGCCACCGTGCTCGGCCAAAATAAGCAGTAATTTTTAAAAATTTGTTAGTTTCCTAAAGGTAAGCCCAACTTGAATGTTTAGTATAGGTTAAAAATTAAAATGTATAGATTATATCCATTTTCAGACCCTTGCTTTGATTAGTTAAGAGTTTATTCTAATACAGCTTTTAGGAAAGAATTTTATGATAAATGCTGTAAACCATAGCAAAGTGATATTTATAACCAACTATCATGGAATCCCTGATTTTTTAGGAGTATCCCCACTCAGCAAATATCAACAAGTATATCAATCAAAATATCTCAGGAATACTGATATTCTGTTGTTTGTCACCTCATAAAATTGGCAGAAAGGATTCAGTTCTAAGTAATAAACAGAAAACTTGAAGGAAATAAATTTAGTGGGAATTTCTTTCCTGTTCTCAGAAGGCATAGATGACTAAGGACTTATCTCTAAGCCTGATGGAATTTAAGCCTCATCACTCTGAGGAATGTGCACCTTTTGAGTTGTAACCAGGTGGGGAAGAATTTTGAGGGTTGCGAATGGGGAGGTTTTATTTTAAAGGTGTCAGGAAAATATGGCAAGTGCCATCTCCCCAGTGTTTACCCAGATTATTTCTAGCCCAGCATTTGATATGTGAAACATGGAGCCAAATTTTCAGAATAGCTGCTAAATTTCTTGTTCCTCTTGATCTGTAATCCCATATATCATCTGGGGTTTTCAAAAACAAAATGTGACAATGGGAACCGAACACAAAAAAACAGACTGAACTTTTGGCTTGTCCTCATGTAGCTCTCCTCATAAATGAGCTTCTTTAGGGTCTTTGAATGTCCAAACTTGGCTTGACTGGGGGGAGATGTGAAGCAAGGAACAAATTAAGTCAGTTAAGAAGCTTTTATGAAAAAGAGTGTTACCTATATTTTCATTTTTCATTATGAAGATTTGAACTTCTACACTTGAGTAGTGTAGAAGGATTACAGAAAACTATCATTTAAAGCTACTGAGCACTATCTCAATTCTACAGGGCCAGTCTAATAATACTTAGTTTTTACTAAATATTAGGGTGAGGAAACTAAGGCTCAAAGAGTAAAGATCATACAACTAAGAAGCATCAAACTGAAATTCAAACATAGATACTCCTTATTCTCAGGAGCCCTCATTCTAATAAGGGATATGAGTGCACATGAAATTAAAGTAGTAGACAAAATATAAGTGCCATAAGAGAAGTTTTCAAAAATGCTATCAAGATTTGGAGGAAGGAAAAAACATAACTGGCTAGTAAGCTTGGTAAGAAGTATTTTATTTAACATCCACTTTATACAAGATAATGTGCTATACATTGGGAATATAAAAATGAATAAGAAAAATCTCTGCTTTCAGGATTTTTATAGTCTAGTATGTTATGGAGACTTGGGGCAATATGTTAGAAAACACTAAATGCAAGCTGGGCTCGGTGGCTCAGCCTGTAATCCCGCGCCTTTGGGAGGCTGAGGTGAGTGGATTGTCTGAGCCCACGGGTTCAAGACCCGCCTGGGCAACTTGGCCAGACCTCATCTCTACAATAAATCAAAAAAATTAGCCGGGCATGGTAGCGCGTGCCTGTAGTTCCAGCTACTTGGAAGACTGAGGCAGAAGGATCGCCGGAGCCCAGCAGGTCGAGGCTGCGGTGTCCAAGAGCGGCCACTGCACTCCAGTCTGGGTTACAGAGTGAGACTCCAACTCAAAAAATAAAAATATAAAATATAAAAAAAAGAAAACACCAAATGCTCTCAGATAAATAAGTACTTGTATCCAATCTGTTTGGAATGCATTTCACTCTGGATGTCCTGAATCTGGCACAGAGCCTTGAAATTGTCTTTTGCTATAAATAGGTACAGCTGGAATTAAGAGGGCTTCCTCTGTAAGAATATTAGATTTCATTCTCAGAACTCCTACCATTCCTTCCCAGTTTGGATACTGTCTTGAGAAAGTGCTCCAAACATGAATACATCTTTAATGAGGATTTTTAAATTGAGAGGTGAAGGAAGGGTCAAAGAGTGAACTGATTTCGAACAGGGGCTTTAGAGTAAAATAACCTATGTTTAAGTTCCAGGTCTTCCATTGTATGACCTTGGAAAAGTTTTGTTGCTTCAGTTATATCATCATAAAATGGAGTTTAAAATACCCTGGCAAGGCATCTGCGAGAATTAAATTAGATACCCATCTAAAGTAATGTAACACAATGCCTGGGTATAGAAAACTATTCCAAACCACCACTGTTGTTATTATCAGTTATGATAATACTAGATAGAGCTTGTCCCACAAGGAGCACTGTGACCCCGCCTTGAATTCTGCACTTACTGCCTAATATTATATTTATCTGTTTGTCTGTCTTTCCCCACTAAACTTTAAAACTTTCTTAAAAGCTGGGGTTGGGTCTTATTCACTTTTACCACTTCATTACAATCATAGGGCATAATAAATAGAAAATGTTTGCTGGATAAGGTAATGAATAATGTGGAAATTTATGTGTTACAGTGTTATATAGATTAGGGAAAGTAGATCTGTTACCAGACTTCTGTGTCTGTTACCAGTGTTCTGTGCTCGGTCCTTGACTTTGCCCAGAAAATAATTTCAGAGCAAGCTGAATATAACAAGTCAGTTAGCAAGTTTATTAAAAGTGGAAGCAACAGAATAGTACTTTAGGGCAAAGTGCTGGGATTACAGACTTGGGTCACCGCACTTGACTTTTTCTGAGTCTTCTAGCAGTCCTGAAATTGGGACAGTCCCTGCTAGAGTTTCCACAGATTTCTAAATGTTTCTACAACCTTCTACAGACCTGACATTTTGCTCTTCTAACCTGCCTACTCTATCAGTACCTACACTTCAGGATTTTATAAGGATTTGATGGGAAAATTCATGTAAAGCGGCCAGCATGATGCCAAACACATAGGTGTTCAGTAATACTGAGAATGAAGATGGTGGTGACCATGCTAATAACAATGACAAATTTAATATTTTTTGTTTTCAACAGATAGTCCCGCTACGGACCTTGGACTTTGTGGATGGATTTTGGTGGCTGCCTCATTCTTATTCACAGTTATAACTTTCCCAATATCAGTATGGATGTGCATAAAGGTAAAGAACATTTCATTCACATCTGGAAAGGGGTCAACTCCTGCCTATACAAATCTACTTTGATGTATATAAGAAGGAGACAGAGACCATGTGGGCCTGTAATTCTTATATCTTTATCTCTCTTTTGGAAAATGTTTTCTACTCACCTATTATAATGGAATCTTTTTTTTTTTTGAGTTGGAGTCTCACTCTGTCGCCCAGACTAGAGTGTAATGGCGCGCTCCTGGCTACCACAGCCTCAACCTGTTGGGCTCCGGCGATCTTTCTGCCTCTGTCTTCCAAGGAGCCGGAACTACAGGCGCGCGCTACCACACCTGGCTAATTTTTTATTCATTGTAGAGACAAGGTCTCACCAAGTTGCCCGGGTGAGTCTCAAACCCGCGGCTCATGAAATTCATTAGCCTTGGCCTCCAGAGTGCTGTGATTACAGACTGAGCCACCGAGCCCGGCCTATGATGGAATCTTAAAAATTGTTTTTAGCTATTGTCCAATTAATCCTTTCCTGAGAGTCACCATACAAAATGTTCTGGGGTCAGGGATATGAGATGGTCCTATGAGAACAAATTCTCCAGAGTTAGGATGATGGGATTTGAGTGCTGACTTTGTTGTTTACTGTGTCACCTTTGCCATGTTTCCTCACCTGTAAAATGGGAGAAAATAACATGACTGTTATTCATAAACTGTTGTGAGGATTAGATGTATTAATCTGTCTAATGCTTGGCACATAGTAAATGCTTTCAAATACTAGTTATTTTTTCTTCAAAGTTATTAATACTTGGATAAATGACTATCATGTACGTATACCTAAGACGATAAAATATGCTGCAAGCATTTTCAGATAAATTTATTCCTGGAGCTAAAGGAATCAGAAGAAAAACTATGAAAACTTCACCTTTTTTTGTTTGTTTGTTTTAAGACAAGATCTTGCTATGTTGCTCAGGCTGGTCTTGAACTCCTGACTGCAAGCAATCCTCCTGCCTTAGCCTCCCAGAGTGCTGGGATTACAGGCGTGAGCCACTGTGGCTGACCCAGCTTTTTTGTTTCTGAATTAACAATGCATGAGTAATTGAAGAACAATATTAACAGCTGAAGAGTAAGGTTATGGATTTGTTTCTGTACACTATTCTATACTTTCCAAATTTAGACAGTGAATATCTATTGCTTTTATTTCTGTTAAAAATTAGATAAAGATAAATACCATACTTTAAGAAGGTAGACATTGGACATGTTATTTATAGATATGGTCTGAATATAGGGAAAAATATGAGGCATCCAACCCGTTTACAGCAAAGATATATTTGAGAAGCTATGCATGTAAATATTTGTACTCTTCATGTTAAATTATCATTTGTTTTTATTCTAGATTATAAAAGAGTATGAAAGAGCCATCATCTTTAGATTGGGTCGCATTTTACAAGGAGGAGCCAAAGGACCTGGTCAGTACTAAGATACTAGATTATCTGGAGACAGGTTCTTTTTATTGATGTGATTTCCCTATGAGGGCTTCTTTTCCATTGACTTAGAAAAAGTTAAAGTATCAGAAGTTGTATAACAATAGCAGTGGCTCTAGCCAGTCTTTTGTTATCCTTTCTTTCCCACCCTTCCCCTTTCCTTCCCATTTGAGCTGATAAGATTATCTTAGGCCAGGAATAGCTACACCTATAGAAATTTGAGCATGAGAATGTCTACAAAAGAGAGAGTTTTTCCAGGCACAGTGGCACACGCCTGTAATCCCAGAACTTTGGGAGGTGGAGGTGAGAGGATTGCCTGAGCCCAGGGGTTTGAGACCAGCCTGGGCAACTTGGCAAGATCTAGACTCTACAATAAATAAAAATTAGCCGGGCGTGGTGGCACACACCTGTAGTTCCAGCTACTTGGAAGACTGACGTGGAAGGATCACCTGAGCCCAGCAGGTCAAGGCTGCGGTGGTCGTGAGCATGCCACTGCACTTCAGCCTGCAACAACAGAGTGAGACTTCAATTAAAAAAAAAAGAGAGAAAGGCTTTAATTTGCCAAACTTTAATTAAACTCCTGTGTTCCAGATTCTGTGTTCAGGGGAGACTAAAGTAGTCCTTACCGTGAACGATCTTACAATCTAGTGGTAGGACACCAACAAGGAAACAGATAGCTACAATCCTATGGAATGATCAGATAATCACAGTGAGCTGTGAGAAGAGAGAAACCCAAAGAAGAGTGACTGGTCTGAACTAGTGGTAGGAGATGACATTATTAGGTTAGACGAGGGGTCTGTGATCTAGTGCCATGTGAAAGATGCAAATAGTTGTACAGAAATTAGATTGGAAAATATAGTTTATTTAGAAAGTAAATTAGAGAGAGAGAGAGGAGATTCATTTCCCGAAGGTAGAGGTGTGGACCAAAGCTTAGGGAAAAGCATGGTGGCCATAGCTCAAAGAGCTATATGGCCAGACCAGAGCTTAGCAAAAGTAATGGTGCCAGGTGCTTGAGATTGACTGCTTTTGTTTTTTTTATTTTTTAGATTAGAAAATACAGTTTATTTAGAATGTAACTTAGAGAGAAAGAGGAGATTCACCTCCCCAAGGTAGGGGAGGGGGCCAAAGCTAGGAAACATGGCTGGCCATAACTTAGCAGGGCAATGGCTGCAATGGCCAAGGTTGAATGCTTTTAAACCTTCCCTTTGATGGGTCAGGTTGTTAAGGTGATTGAGTGATAGTCTGTTTTACGTCATGAATGGGCAGGTAAGCACAGGTACTGACATCAGGTGTGGATGGGTGGGTTAGTCACATGACTGCTGCCAAGGTGATAGGGTCAGTCTGGGTCACAAAGATCAAGAAGGGCTGATTAGGTTAACTTGGTTTCTTATGGCTGGAAGCAAATACTTGGAATAGAAAAGTGAATTAATACAGAGCAAGCTGGGGAGGGGGTTGAAAACAATTTTCAGGCATCTTGACCCAGTCTTAAGGCATGAAAAGGTGTTAGTCACAGGGAGGTGTTCCCAGCTGAAATAGCAACATGTATAAAGCAATGTAGAGGACAGAGTATTGCAGATTTGAGAAACTGCAAGTAGCTCAGTCCAGTGAGAGTACAAGTTGTGAATTGAGGGAAAGTGGCTGAAGAGGGAAATAGAGGCAGGCTGTGCAGGACCATGTATGGGGTAGGGTTTGTATTTAGAGGAGAAATCTCTGCTTGTAGAGAAAAGCTATGTAGGAGAGAAGCTGCAATAGAAAGATGGCTTGGGAAGTGATGGCATTGGTCCAAGTGAGGGAAAAAAGAGAGTGACGGTAACAGTAGAGTAAGAAAATGAGCTCCAGAAACCTAAGTGGGAACAGTCAGATGTGGGAAGCAAGCAATAGGAATCCAGGATAACATCCTGGCTTCTGACTCACTCACTAATATTAACTGATGACTTCCACTTCATTGGGATGATTCTATTAAAATTGAGTGGAGAAGTGAACTGATTAGTTAAGATGATTCTATTAAAATTGAGTGGAGAAGTGAACTGATTAGGTGCTCACGTCTCTATAACCTACGTATCTTTGTTGCAGGTTTGTTTTTTATTCTGCCATGCACTGATAGCTTCATCAAAGTGGACATGAGAACTATTTCATTTGATATTCCTCCTCAGGAGGTAAGGTTTTCTTTTTTTTAAAAAAAAAAGCAGGACAATTTATGGAGAGGACAGAAAAGCTCCTGTAGTGGGAGGGGACCCAAAAGGGTTGCCCAAGGTTTTCTTTTGCTATGAATAACAGATATGTGTAAAAGTGCTTTACAGTGAGAGGCAGCCTCTGGCCTGGTGTGGTGGCTCACACCTATAATCCCAGCACTTTGGGAGGCAGAGGTGAGAGGATTGCCTGAGCCCACGGGTTCAAGACCAGACCAGGCAACTTGGTGAGTCCACTTCTCTACAATAAATAAAAAAATTAACCAGATGTGGTGGCACATGCCTATAGTTTCAGGTGCTTAGAAGGCTGAGGTGGAAGGATCACCTGAGCCCAGCAGGTCAAGGCTGTGGTGGCTGTGAGTGTGCCACTGCACTCTAGCCTGGGCAGCAACAGAGTAAGACTCCAACTCAAAAAAACAGTGAGAGAGCCTAGTTAGAGCACAGACTTCAGATCCTGACTTCCTTCACCAGTTCTAGCTCAGTGACCTTGAGCAGGGTCTTTAACTTCTCTCTGTCTCAGATTCCTCATCCATAAAATAGAAGTTGCAATAGTAGGACCTACTTTATAGGGTTGTGAGAAGCAAATTAGATACTATATTTATCAGAACAGTGACTGATAAATAGTAAGTGCTGTATAAGTGCTTGCTCTTATTACGACATTTGGCCCTCTGTGTGGGTTCTGTATCTGAGGATTCAACCAACTATGGATTGAAAATATTAGGAAAAAGTAACTTCACAAAGTTCCAAAAGCAGAACTGGAATTTGCCATGCATCAAGTACTGCATTGAATCCACACGAATGAAGTGATGTGTGGGCATTGTATTCGTTAATATAACTAACCTAAACATGATTTGATGTTGAGGAGAGAGTATTGCAGATGATATACACAGATTATACAGTCAACCCTCCTTATCCGTGGATTCTGTATCCATGGATTCAACCAACTGTAGATCAAAAATATTTTGGAGACCCTGAAGACCTATCATAATACTACAAAGAGGAGGTGGGCAGTAGCAAGACACTACCAGGAGAGGGGGGTGGCACCTAACATCAGTAAGGTGCCTGATCCTAATCCAGGCGAAGTGAGGTCCAGTGGGAGGCTCAAAACTTCACCTGTACCTAAGCCACTTATGTACCCAATCCTGACTGGGACCCCACAACTTAAAAAAAAATTCTCTGCATATATGAGAATGTAAAAGAAGTCTATTGTAAATGGTAAAAAGAAGTGATAACATTTAAACTACTTGAAAGGCTACTTGAAAGGCTGAGACAGAAGGATCGCCTGAGCCCGGTAGGTCGAGGCTGCAGTGGCTGTGAGTGTGCCATTGCACTCCAGGTAAATTTTCTTTTGGAAAGTAGTTAATAAGGAAATATATATATATTTTTAAAACAACAAAAAATAATACAAAAATTTAAAAAATTCAATGTAACAACAATTTACATAGCATTTACTTTGTATTAAATATTATAAGTAATCTATTATAAGTATGCAGGTTACATCATTTTATTTTATTTTATTTTATTTTTGAGTTGTGAGTCTCACTTTGTCGCCCGGACTGGAGTGCAGTGGCCACTCCTGGCCACCACAGCCTCGACCTGCTGGGCTCCAGTAATTCTTCCGCCTCAGCCTTCCAAGTAGCTGGAACTGCAGGTGCGCTCTACCACATCTGGCTAATTTTTTGATTTATTGTAGAGATGAGGTCTCGCCAAGTTGCCCAGGCTGGTCTCGAACCCGCGGGCTCAGGCAATCCACTCACCTCCGCCTCCCAAAGCATGGGATTACAGGCTGAGCCACCGAGCCCGGCTACATCATTTTATAAAAGGGACTTGAGCATCCTCGAATATTGGTGGGAGTAGGGATGAGAGTCCTGGAACCAATCTCCCACGGATACTGAGGGATTGTTGCATTACAACATATTGTAATGTTAATGTAAGTATAACATTAACATTATCTTTGTTGGCATTACATCATTTTTACTACCACATTTCTCTATGGGTTTCTGAGAGAAAATTCCATTTAGTACAGTATTATTCTTCTTAAGGTTTTATTCTAGATAAATTAGTTAGAAGCCAAAGTAGAATCTGCTCATTTGACATTTTAGATAAAACATGAATTTTATGTTAGTAATTATTTTGTGCTTTTCTTATCTTTCTTTCTTTCTTTTTTTTTTTTCTTTGAGTTGGAGTCTTACTCTGTTGCTACCCAGCCTGGAGTGCAATGACACACTCACAGCCACTGCAGCCTCGACCTACCGGGCTCAGGCGATCCTTCTGTCTCAGCCTTTCAAGTAGCTGGAACTACAGGCATGTACCACCATGCCCGGCTAATTTTTTGATTTATTATAGAGATGAGATCTCACCAAGTTGCCCAGACTGGTCTTGAACCTGCAGGCTCAGGCAATCCTCTCGTCTCAGCCTCCCAAAGTGCTGGGATTATAGGTGTGAGCCACCACATTCAGCATTTTTTTTATTTTTTGCTTTTCAAATTATTCCACAAATATGATCACAGTTGAAACTGACAGCAGTATCCCCAGAAAATACACATTTGTGGTGAGGTAAAGGAATTTCTCCAAACTACAATGATGGAGCCAAGCCTAAAATCCAGCTCTTCATATTCCCTGTCTAGTGTTTTTTCCTCAGCTCTTTGCTAAATACATTCTACATTAGCTCCATCATAGTTCCTGAAGAAGTGATAACCATCCTGGTGCTCATGTCTTGGGAGGAAAAATAACCATTGTAGACAGAAAACCTAGACACATGATGAAGGGGGGAAGGACAGAAGAATGCTGTCCGTGTTTCTTGTCCCAAGTCCAGATACTCAGCATGGTGATGAAGCCTGGCCATGTTGCCTTCTCTTATCATGCGATCCAGAAACCAGCTTAGGAACTTCCTTGTTGGTACTGATCCAACTAGTGGGCGAGGTCAGACTTTATAATCTACACAAACTTGATGCCAGAAATCATTTTTGCCCACATTTTACTCATAAGAGCAAGACTGAGCATCGCCATATTCTCTGTATGTTTTCCTATCTTCGAGGGAAGATCTACTCTCAGAAGGAGCCCCTTTCAGGGTAGCTGGAAGTTCTGGCATTTTCCTCTGTAAATATTGCAGACATCTGTCAGGGTTGCTGCTTAAGCTTCTGCCTTCCAGCTGGTCTCTTCTCTCTTACAAGCTGCTGAGTGCAGGGCACATTGGAACTTGGCAAGCAATCCTTTTTCCAATCCCCTGCGAACTTACTGTGAAGGGAGATAAACACTGCCTATGATAAACAGTAGGCAGAGAGGCTGTAGCTTTAGAAAGCAGCTGGGGCAAAGTCAAAGTGGCAAGAATGTGTTTAGGAATAACACACATTTTCCTATCATATCATGGGAAATAATCAGTTTTTACACAAGATGATGCTATACTCTACATTTATTTGCAAATCTTCCACTTCTCTTCCCATTTAGAAGTATTTTTGGATTACTAAAAAGGGATCACTGCTTTGACGTCTGGCAGGGCTAAACAGCTATGTGACAACATGGTTGTTATTACCTTCCGTTTACATAGCTCTACACTTTCAAAAGGGCTTTTTTCACAAATGTCTTCTCCTTTGACCTTCACAGAAATTTGGGTAGAATTGGGCAGTGTTATTAGTGGCATCTGACAATTGAGGAATCTCTAGGTCTACTAGTTTAAAAGCCTTCCTGGAGGCCACCCAGGGACGTGCAGGCAGAGCTGGAACTAGAGTTCCAGTCTCTTGACTCTCCCTCCTGTGCACCTCATCAATAACTATTTCTAAGACTGATGCTGGGTGTGGCACAGCACAAACCTGTGGATTTTTTGACTTGACCCTAAAATAATTTTTCAGAATAGCCAGCAAAGTTTTAAAACAAAGTTTTAGTGATAAGAAGAGAGTGAGAAAAGGAAAGGCAGAAGTTCTCTCTCTCTCTCTCTCTTCCCTCTCTCTCTCTCTCTCTCTCTCTCTCTCTCTCTCTCTCAGACCGTGCTTTTGCTCTTAACTGAGAAACTAGATATATGGGGGCACAGGTAACTGCCACTCTGCAGAGATTGACATCTCTTCCTTTCTGATAGGAGGAGTGGGAGGAGGGGTGATCTTTTCTAGACCTCATTGTCTTCTGCAGGTCTGTCAGATTTTTCCAGTTCACAAGTTCAAGAATAAAAAAGTGGTCTTACTATCATTTCTATGTCTTTGGTTACTTCAGAGTTGGTATTCAGCTATCTGCCTTTAACTGGGAACCTGAAGGGTTTTTAGCGATTATTATGCTAAACCATGAATTGAAAGGTTGGGCTGTACTGTTCTTACATCTGATGTGATTTTCTTTTGATTTGTGGAGGGGTTAGGGTAAGCTGCCAGTTCACATTCCAGCTTGGCCTGCAGTAAAGAAAAAATGTAATAAAGAAGTGATGAATGCTTCCTAAAAGTTGCCTACAAGAAATGTATCTATGTATGTCTAACCTGTGCTAACTGTCCTGTCTCAGGACCATGCTTTAATTTAGTTCATCTCTCATTTATTGATTGCCTGCTACATATCAAGTGTTCTGCCAGTGCTAGAGATACAAAGAACTGCACTTAAGAAACTCATAGTCCAATAGAGAAGTAGAAATGTGAATAAATAATGTCACTATAGCAAGGTTCAGTAGATGTGCAAGGGAAGAGTGCTTAACTCTGCCAGGCTAGTCAGGGAAGTTTCAAAGAAAAGGACATTTTTAAATGATGAGGAGAAATGTGCCAGTGTGATGTGAGGAAGAAAAGCTGGAATTCCTGGGCTCACTTGGCTGACTCTTTCATATCTCTGTGCCTTTTTATACACTATTCTCTCTGCCTTGAATACTCTTCCACTTCACCCCCCCCACCGCAGAACATTTTTATTCTTTTCTTCAAGATTCAGTTCAGGTGTCACCCCTGTTACCCACAGCTGCCACTTAGAGTGTTCCTTGATTCCCCAACTTCCTTGAAGGTAGGATCCAAGGTCTTTCATACCTTGCTCCTTGGTACCTAGTACAGTACCTGCTATTGAGTGGTATCTCATTATTTGTTAAATTATTGAATGAATTAATGGACTTAATGAATAAATTTTATCGCGTTTTAAAAAAATAATAATTCACTTTCTGATGCTTTACTAGAGAAAACCAGCTAGTGTTGTAAGATGTTCTGTAAAATAGCATTCCCTACAGTTACATTAAAGAAATAGTTGATTGACAGATGTAAAATTGCTTCCTTCATCTTGTAGATCCTTACTAAGGATTCAGTGACAGTTAGCGTGGATGGTGTGGTCTATTACCGTGTTCAAAATGCAACCCTGGCTGTGGCAAATATCACTAATGCTGACTCAGCAACTCGTCTTTTGGCACAAACTACTCTGAGAAATGTTCTGGGGACCAAGAACCTTTCTCAGATCCTCTCTGACAGAGAAGAAATTGCACACAACATGCAGGTGAGGAATGCATTACTGTTGTTACCCACTGGAAACTGAAAAATGAAGCAAAGAGTCAATGGTAGTTTGAGAATCTTCTATTGATTCCACTTGGGAGATGACTGGCCTTTTTTTTCCTTCATAGTAAAGTTTTTGAAATTTGATGAGGGGGACTTTTTCATACTAGCAGCTCATAGGTTAACAACACTCCAATGCATTTTGTTTTTTATTCTTTCTATTGTGGTTTTTTTTTCCTAGAATCAGTATTAACCTTTTTGTTTAGTTTAATAGTGCAGAAACTGTTCTTCAAAGTATTGCAGGTATTGTTAAAACTTTATTCTGTGTTTGAGCCCCATGAATCCTCTTATAACTGTTAGGCTTTCCAATCTTACTTGAATAATAGATGTTGAGTTAAGCTTGGCTTGTTCAAAAAAGATAGAATATTATAAATCTGAATTCTCATCCTTTGTATAGACTTCGCTGTGGGTGAAATCTATGACCTTATTTGATATCCACAACAACCTTATGAAATAGGTAGTATGGTTTCATTCCTGCCACTCTAAAGGGAGGAAGTTGAAGCACAGAAAAGTAATGACTTCCACAGTGTTACATTAGCTCAGAGTTCAACAAACTATTGCCTACAGGCTATAATCTTTGCAAGTAAAGTTTTAATAAGTAAAGTTTCATCAGAATACAACCACAGCTATTTATTTATATATTCTTGGCCGCTTTTGACAACAACCATTGAGTTAAATCATTGAGACAGAGACTACAAATAAACAGTCAAATGTTCCTTTTAGAAGAAATTTGCCAATCTCTGCACTGGCTTATTAGTATCAGAATGAGATCAGATCCCCAGTGACCCAGCCCCTACTCTTCAGCATTTCTTCCACCATAGTTCAGCTCTCTTCTATAACTCTCCCCTAGCACCTCATCTGCTCCAAGTCCCACTGAATACAGCAGCTACCGTCAGCATCAGGGCTACAACTGGCCATTTCTCGCTTGCCTTCTCTCTTCCTAACAGTGTACTCTGGATGATGCCACTGATGACTGGGGAATAAAGGTGGAACGTGTGGAAATCAAAGATGTGAAACTACCTGTGCAGCTCCAGAGAGCTATGGCTGCAGAAGCAGAAGCATCCCGGGAGGCCCGAGCCAAGGTAATATTTTGTTTCAGCTTCTTTTTCTTTCTTTTTTTTTTTTTTTTTTTTTTTTTTTTGGGTGTG